TTAAATATTAATAAATTATTAAGTTATAAATTTGATATTATGAATAATGAAAATGTCTAAAAACGTTCAGAAAAATGAAATGCGTTCAGAAAAATATAATTATGTCTGGAAAATGTTCAGAAAATAGGATTATGTCCAAAATTATCTGAAAAATGTTAAAAATATCTAATTTTGCATTCTAAAGAAATCGAACATTGAAATTTTGAACAATAACATTTTTCAGATAAAATAAATGTTTGGAAACCACCAAGATTTGGAATATATTTCAGACAATAGAAATGTTCAGAATTTGTACATTATTATTTCAATAAATTTTCCTGTTAAATTCTGAACATTCTTTTTTTATAGGAAAGAATATAATTTTATATTTTGAATATTTGACTATCATATGTTTGATTATTTAATTAGAAAAATTGATAAATAAAAGGTATTAAGTTAATTAAATATAAAATTATTTTATTACAATATTATATTATTTAATTATTATTAATAATAATTATTCATAACATTATAATAAATCATTTATTCACTTTTATGATTGTGCTTATTTTGCATAGAAATTTTTATAGCTTCTTGATCATAAATTTCATCTTCACTTTCAGGTTTTAGTATTGATTTTGTAAGTTCCTTCTTATTTTTATTCCATCTATATAAAAATAAACTTTCTAATGATATTAAAATACTACCGACCAATGATCCTATAATAATAGCAATTATAGTTAATATTGGTAAGATGATTGACAAAGATTTTGAATCAGTTGTTAGATCAAATATATTCATTTACACATATTCTTAATCATTACTTATATCAAGTAACAAGATATCATTGTCAATCATTAGATCATATCTAGCTCCTAAATATGAAATTTATTTAATTAATTTCATTATTTATTTATGAGCATAATTGCAGTCAGTATATTTATCAAATGATATAAACATATATTTTCCAATAAAATTTGCTTTATGCTAATGTCTGGTACTTGGAATTGTCTCAAAAATGTTTGAATATACCATTCAAAATTTAATAGGTCTAATACATAAAGTGATTCATGAGATCTAACATAACCTCCAAAAATTATTATTTGCTGTTGCAGTAAAGATGGTGCTGCAACTGGTTACAACTGGTAACAAATAAGCATTACAGGGTTGCAACTAATTGCAATATTAATAAAAATTGAGTTGCAACTAGTTGCAACCGGTGACAAATAAATATCACATAATTGCAACTAGTTGCAGCGCCATCTTTAATTACTACCCATATAATCCTAGTAAATAGTATAGTAACAGTGATTAATTGATATTCGAATATTTAAATAATATTTTAATAGAAATACTTACCTAGAACAGCAGAAAAAGAACTTCTATTGGAAGGAACTTTACCCAGTGTTATCTAATTAATTAATAAAATTAGATAAACAAAAACGTGTAATTGGTAAATAAATTATTATGAAACAATTTAACAAGCCTACTTTAGTATTCCAGCTATCATTAATTATATCATATAAGTAAGCCTAAAATATATTAAATGAAATGTTAGCATTCTTAGAATTTATACAATATTATAAAATTTCAATTTACCTCTTTTTACGATCCCAAAATTTTATCATTACTAAGACCATCTAAATAATAAATATTTATAAATGAATATAATCAGAATTTATTGCAGCACCAGTTTTGTTGCTTACCTAAATAAATAATGTAGTGATTTGTTAATAAAGCTGCTCCATAAAGGCTTCTCGGAGAGGGCGCATTAACAGCACTCCCTATTTTCCAATTTAGATTTACTGTATCTAAAATAAGCATATCATTAAAATAAGTTCCATCATCATTGGAATGTCCACTGAATAAATACATTAACCCCTTATCATCAACGATGGCCTCTAAATTATCTTTTCTAATGGTATGGTAATATCTCCAGTTACTTTTGGAATGCTTCACGAATTTTTTTGAGTATCAAATGCATAAACTAAAAACATTGTTTCATCATTAATAGGCATTCCTCCATATAAAAACAAGGTTTTATTATTTGTACCACTCTTAACAGATGTAGCGGCAGAATGCATAGGAACTGTATTTTTTAAATAATGCCAAAATATATTTTGAGTATTAAATGGAATAGACACATCAAGATAAAAAAAATTTTTTCCGTCCAAGATATATAATTTATCATTAATAAGTGTAACTGTTTGACAATTTATTAAGTAATAATTGGATTAATAGCCATATTATAACATAAATTGAATAGTACTTTGACATCATTTCACAAAAGATTTCGGTAAAGAATTAATTTTCAAATAAATACATTTCTTTTTAAACGGACCAGGTTGTCATACAAACTATTTATGCATGCAATTATATTAATTCGCCGCTTTGTATAACATTGTGAAATGTAATTTCGAGTTACACTGCGCTTGAAAATATAAATGCTCTTCGAGAAGGTTAAACAGGATTTTCTTTACATGATCAAAAAATTCGACTAAAGTTTTCTGTAAACTTAAATGCTTAATAAATTTAATATGAGATGATGGATTAATTTTTATAATTTATGATTAAATCATTTCTTATAGTACCTAAAACTGTTTCGGTAATGATAATGAAATTGCGCAATGAGGATAGTGGTTAACCATTAAATGTCCATTTTCAAATGGGAAGAAAAAAAAATTCAGAAAATTTCCAATATAATAAATAAAACCTGTATATGTTCGAAGCGCCAAAATATTTACGTATTAAATCGAATAGAAACCTCTTTAGTTACAATTTCCTCTCAAGATAGATATATCAATAAGTTAATTCAATAAGCAAGAAAAAAAAAGTGTAATATACGTTTATAAATTATCTTTATACATGTTAAACTTGCATTCGTTTTATTACGAAGAAGCAAAGGTTGTGATAATACATTTCAGTTAATCAAATTACGAACCTCAAAATTTAATTTTCAAATTATTGTTTAATATAAGTTTTTTTATGCATAAAATCTTAGATTTTATTCACGTTTCTTTTAAAGAAAGATAACACCAAAAGTAAGGAAAAGCACTCTTTTTAAATACAAACAGTTTATAATTTATACATACA